TGGAAGACATACAAGACCACTGATAATCTCCCTCGATCTGGGGCTCCACGCAAGATCTCACCCCGTGGGGTCAAAATGATCACAAGAACGGTGAGCAAAAATCCCAGAACCACACGGGGGGACCTAGTGAATGACCTGCAGAGAGCTGGGACCAAAGTAACAAAGCCTACCATCAGTAACACACTACGCCGCCAGGGACTCAAATCCTGCAGTGCCAGACGTGTCCCCCTGCTTAAGCCAATACATGTCCAGGCCCGTCTGAAGTTTGCTAGAGTGCATTTGGATGATCCAGAAGAGGATTGGGAGAATGTCATATGGTCAGATGAAACCAAAATAGAACTTTTTGGTAAAAACTCAACTCGTCGTGTTTGGAGGACAAAGAATGCTGAGTTGCATCCAAAGAACACCATACCTACTGTGAAGCATGGGAGTGGAAACATCATGCTTTGGGGCTGTTTTTCTGCAAAGGGACCAGGACGACTGATCCGTGTAAAGGAAAGAATGAATGGGGCCATGTATCGTGAGATTTTGAGTGAAAACCTCCTTCCATCAGCAAGGGCATTGAAGATGAAACATGGCTGGGTCTTTCAGCATGACAATGATCCCAAACACACCGCCCGGGCAACAAAGGAGTGGCTTCGTAAGAAGCATTTCAAGGTCCTGGAGTGGCCTAGCCAGTCTCCAGATCTCAACCCCATAGAAAATCTTTGGAGGGAGTTGAAAGTCCGTGTTGCCCAGCGACAGACCCAAAACGTCACTGCTCTAGAGGAGATCTGCATGGAGGAATGGGCCAAAATACCAGCAACAGTGTGTGAAAACCTTGTGAAGACTTACAGAAAACATTTGACCTGTGTCATTGCCAACAAAGGGTATATAACAAAGTATTGAGAAACTTTTGTTATTGACCAAATACTTATTTTCCACCATAATTTGCAAATAAATTCATTAAAAATCCTACAATGTGATTTTCTGGAGAAAAAAAATCTCATTTTGTCTGACATAGTTGACGTGTACCTATGATGAAAATTACAGGCCTCTCTCATCTTTTTAAGTGGGAGAACTTGCACAATTGGTGGCTGACTAAATAATTTTTTTCCCCCACTGTATCTTGGACTGTAGCCTATAAAAGCCTATTCCTGCTCTTTTCCCGCGATCCATCAAACACATTTGGTGTGTCATCATAGTGGTCTCTGACTTGTGGTCAGAATAGTTCAGGTGGAACAAACTTAAACTTGCACCTTTTTTCAATGCTGATTTGAATGTCATTGAGAAAACAGAGAAGTGTCAAATAATTTAAAGGTAATCCTCAAAGAAATCTAGTTTTTCAAAAGTATCTGTAATCTGATTACAATATTTTTGCTGGTAATGTAACGGATTACAGTTACCGTTTTTTTGTAATCCCTTACATGTAACGGATTACACGTAATCTGATTACATGTAATCCGTTACTCCCCAACCCTGATGACCCTAAGCACACAGCCAAGACAACGCAGGAGTGGCTTCGGGACAAGTCTCTGAATGTCCTTGAGTGGCCCAGCCAGAGCCCGGACTTGAACCCGATCTAACATCTTTTGTGAACTGAAAATAGCTGTGCAGCGACGCCCCCCATCCAACCTGACAGAGATTGAGAGGATCTGCAGAGAAGAATGGGAGAACCTCCCCAAATACAGGTGTGCCAAGCTTGTAGCATCATACCCAAGAAGACTCGAGGCTGTAATCGCTGCCAAAGGTGCTTCAACAAAGTACTGAGTAAAGGGTCTGCATACTTTTGTAAATGTGATATTTCACATTCTAAAAACCTGTTTTTGCTTTGTCATTATGGGGTATTGTGGGGAGATTGATGAGGAAAAAAAACAATTAATCTATTTTAGAATAAGCCTGTAACGTAACAAAATGTGGAAAAAGTCAAGGGGTCTGAATACTTTCCAAATGCACTGTAGGTTAGGCCTAGTTGTCTCCCTCTTTCTTATTATTTGAGCTCTTCAAAGTTTGCTGGGATTTTCTATTTGTTGCAGTCAGGCAGACTAAAAATGGCATATTTGAAAATGCATCAACTTCCATGATCTGGGTCGGTCCTTCGTGTAGCCTAGTTCAAGGCAACATTTGCACCATTGTGCCACTAGGTGGTGCCATTATGTTAGAACATTAAATACCACAATCATACACACCAGATAAAAAGATTCAGTAGTACGTTTTATTCCTTTTTCAAACAGCAAAGTAAAAAATAAAATAACTGAAATGTACAATATGTATTACCATTATATTGTCGTACTCATCCAGTTCTATACATTTTCAATGGATAAACCCCTTATCGAGACTATCAACAATATACTCCACAACCTAAACCACAAGAAAAAAAATCTGTAAATGACAGAACATGATTTTACGGCATTGTATACACAGAAAAAAAAAGTCCCCTCAGTACGAAGGTTTCTCTATATTTACAGTATGATCAATACAGAGTACAATATATCTTGCATGCCTCCAAGTAACTGGAGAAGTAAAGATAACTGTTGGATATATTGGATATAGGCAGCTGCTGCTTCTTCAAAAGCATTGAACAACAAAGTCATCATACTATCACCTCACTTTCATGCTCTTCCACCTAAAATAGTTGTTAAGCACAGAGACAATACTATTTAATAAATAAATAAAAGCTTTGACTATCTTTACAGCATAATTTCAAAATTAACTTTTCAGGAATATAAACAGACAAACTTTGATTCTAGAAAATGATCTCAACATCAGCTAGTTGTGATATATCATCCATGTTTTTGGTTTTGGATACGCTCACATTCAGTTTTAACACGTTCTCCCGCTCTCTCTCAGCCAATAGCTGGTGGGGACGAAAGGCACCAATGACGTTAAAGACAGGACAGCGAGCTCCGCCCACTGTCATAGGGACATCATAAGTAGCAGGGGGGATTGGTATAGTTTTCAGAGAGCCTGTGTTAAGTTCACAAAACCTTGTGCAAATAAAGCAAAAAACAACAACTCAAAGCTCCCTGAAGGAGGAGAGCAGACATAATCATGATAAAGATGTAGAAGAAGTACCCTGGAACTAAAAATAAGCTTAAAATACTAATATTCAAACAATTTGTGTGCTCATGGTTGAGACCATGACCCTGTCCAGGCTCTGCAATAGAACAATATAGGAAGCATGGCTTTGTGTTGGTGGTGGCATCTTTACAATGCAGAAAACCAATCATCTCTAACCCAAACGGTTCAAAACGAATGACCTATTTCACCATTTCTTTTTTTCTTTCTAGCATGGATTCACTGGGCACTCTTAGGTACACACAAATTAATCATCATGAGTAAGGAACTATGATGAACCCTATTTAATCTATAAAAAAACATTTGTCACAGAAAATAGCAGTTTGGATGAGATGGAGGTGATTTCCACTAAATCAATTAATAGGGACATTTTAGGTGTGCCACAGAATTTCCAGAGGTAAAAGTATAAGGGTGTGATAGTCCACAATCTTAAGAAACGGGTGGCCGTTGGGGGGAGGGAGAGAGGGGAGGCACAACCGCCTCCCCAGACCTTCTAGTAAAGTGATCCCTGGTTAGTCAGCCCGAGTCAGTCACCCATGTGACCACGTCTTCCCATCACAGAAAACTACCCATCAGGACCCTAGTAAGCCAGAGTGCCACACTTCTACTATACCACCCATCCCACCAATTAGATCCAACCTCTTCCTCAGCCCGGCCAATGACGCGCCTCCTCCTGAGTCAACTTCCTCTCACAGCAGCGTCACGTGTCATGGCAGGTCAGTCATGCACGGCGTGTAGAGACTGCCACGGATGTCACTCTGCCTCTCCTTCCCCAGCATCCTTGGGTACAGCTTCAGTCTCTACTTCCACTACTGCCTCAGCATTCCCCACCTCAGCCTCAGTTTCATCCTTAACCTCCACCACCTTTGCTTCAGCCTCTGCCATCACCACCTCAGCTTCAGCCTTAACCTCCACCTCAGCCTCAGCCTTAACCTCCACCACCACCTTTGCTTCAGCCTCTGCCATCACCACCTCAGCCTCACCCTTAACCTCCACCACCATCTCTGCTTCAGCCTCTGCCATCACCACCTCAGCCTTGGTTTCAGTTTTAACCTCCACCTCGGTTTCATCCTTAAACCCCATCACCTCTACCTCTGCCATCACCACCTCAGCCTCGGTTTCAGTTTTAACCTCCACCTCGGTTTCATCCTTAAACCCCATCACCTCTACCTCTGCCATCACCACCTCAGCCTCGGTTTCAGCCTTAACCTCCACCTCAGCCTCCATCTCTGTCTCAGTTTCAGCCTTAACCTCCACTACCTTGGTCTTGATTTCAGCTTCTACCACCACCACCTCAGCCTTACCCTCTACCTCAGCATCAGCTTTCGCCACCTCCTCTACCTCAGCATCAGATTTCGCCACCTCCTCTACCTCAGCATCAGCTTTCGCCACCTCCTCTACCTCAGCATCAGATTTCGCCCACCTCCTCTACCTCAGCATCAGATTTCGCACCTCCCTCTACCTCAGCATCAGCTTTCGGCCACACCCTCGAGCATCAGCTTTCGCCACCTCCTCTACCTCAGCATCAGCTTTCGCCACCTCCTCTACCTCAGCATCAGCTTTCGCCACCTCCTTTACCCAGCATCAGCTCTTCGCCACCTCATCTATACCTCAGCATCAGCTTTCGCCACCCCTCCTATACCTCAGCATCAGCTTTCGCCACCTCCTCTACACTCAGCATCAGCTTTCGCCACCTCCTCTACCTCAGCATCAGCTTTCGCCACCTCCTCTACCTCAGCATCAGCTTTCGCCACCTCCTCTACCTCAGCATCAGCTTTCGCCACCTCCTTTACCTCAGCATCAGCTTTCGCCACCTCCTCTACCTCAGCATCAGCTTTCGCCACCTCCTCTACCTCAGCATCAGCTTTCGCCACCTCCTTTACCTCAGCATCAGCTTTCGCCACCTCCTCTACCTCAGCATCAGCTTTCGCCACCTCCTCTACCTCAGCATCAGCTTTCGCCACCACCTCTACCTCAGCATCAGCTTTCACCACCTCCTCTACCTCAGTCGCTGGTTCAGCCACCACTGCCTCAGCCTCTAGTTCTGTCTCTACCAATGTTTCTGGTGGTATCTCCGTCTCTGGTTCTGCCACTACCAATGTCTCTGGTGGTGCCTCTGCCTCTTCCTGTAGTTCTGTATCTGCCGCTCCCTCTACCTCTGGTTCTGCCTCCGACTCTACTTCTGGTTGTGGTTGACTGTTCTTCCTGCAGATACCTGGAGAGAGAGAGAGAAAGAAAGAGAAGAGTGTCTCAGAGGCTCTTGTCCATGCTCATGCAGATGCATTCAGAGATGTGTGCATGACCAATTAGCAGTGGAAATCTATTTTTGTTGCTCTCATCAAGTGTAATTAGCATTCCCATGCTAAATTAAGACATGGGTTGTTCCCTGAGTAATGCAATTGGATAAGATAATCTCAATTAAGCATGAGGCTATATCTATTTGGCCGTAATTGGCGGTGATCTCTCATCATGTCTACCCAAATCAAAATCTTTGTGATTATAATTTTGCTGCTGCTCAGGAGAGACCTACAGTTGGATTGTTGGCGGCATCTCTGTGTTCCTCTTTAAAATGTCTCATGCAATTGTCTTAACTCAGATGTGAGGTTTTGCCTTGCTGTTGAATACCATGTATACCATGTATAGGGCGGCAGGTAGCTTAGTGGTTAAGAGCGTTGTGCCAGTAACCGAAAGGTCGCTGGTTCTAATCCCCGAGCCGACTAGGTGAAAAATCTGTCGATGTGCCCTTGAGCAAGGCACTTAACCCTAATTGCTCCTGTAAGTCGCTCTGGATAAGAGCGTCTGCTAAATGACTAAAATGTAAATGTAAAAATGTATACACACGTTATAATTAAGCAATTAGGCCCGAGGGGGTGTGGTATATGGCCAATATACCACAGTTAAGGGCTGTTCTAATGCACGACGCAACGCGGAGTGCCTGGATACAGCCCTTAGCCGTGGTATATTGGCCATATACCACAAACCCCCGAGGTGCCTTATTGCTATTATAAACTGGTTATCAACGTAATTAGAGCAGTAAAAATACATGTCATACCCGTGGTATATGGTCTGTTATACCATGGCATTGTTGAATACTTGTTTCTGATTGGCTTGAACGTCATTAGAGTGTGCATTATTTCCCTATAACGCACTGTATATTTGCACGGTAGAATTCAATAATTTTAGTTTATTCTTACATGTTCTATGCTTGAGCTTCTTTTGAAAGCAAAAGTCAAATTGAAAACATTATTTGAATTGGATTTTCATAATAGCAAGCCAGGACTGATGGCTTGGTTAGCTAAACTAGCAAGTCTGGTTGTTTGGTTACCATGGCAACTACTGTAGCCATCTAGTAAACTTGATAGCAACTTCAGTGGATGTTGAACACATTTGTACTGGCAAATTAACAAACTGCTAGTGGCAAATGTGTTCAATTATAGCCATGGTATAAAAGGGATAATCAACTTGGGGCTCTATGCGTTCTCTGGAAAATAATGCTAGCGCGTCGTGGAACACACCTACGTCGTTCATTATTTTCCATAGAACTCATAGCCCCTCGTTGATTACCCTTTCATATACCACAGCTGTCAGCCAAATCAGCATTCAGGGCTCAAACCACCCAGTTTATAGTTCCCAACATTAAACACATTGTGCGTGTTAATATTACCCACACTTCCCCAAGCAGATCATTAATATGCAGTGTTCTACATCTAGCTATACAGCGGCAGCAGTCAACCCAATGCCTGCACAACTCCCTCATCTCTCTGACAGGCTGAAAACCGGGGTTGTGTTTATTAGGTGACGCAGCAGAATTTTGCAATAGAAAATGAGGGTTTGTTATTGGACAAGTCCAGGTGTTGTGGCTTTTCTGACAGTTTGCTCAGAGATAGGAAAAGCTCTGAGTGCCAAATGGGCAGACTTCAAATACAGATCTTTATTAGGAGAAGTATATAGAGAGAGAGAATTCTGCTTTGTGTTAGATTCTAGACCTCAGCAACATTGGATGTTACTTCTTGCCATTTGAGATTAATCACAATGTTTACTGATACAGCTCTCCAAATAATCCCAAGGGCCAAATAAAACTAGCTTAAATGTTAACATGAACATAATGAGGCACCAGCTAAACGAACTGAAAGTGTAGAGTCTGTGTAAAGAGAAATGTTTTGACAATTTGATTAAGCGTGTCTGAAGAGCACCAGGCAAGCTCAATCAAGCGAAGCTGAAGTTTTTGAAAGAAAATTACTATTTGAACTCATGTCTGGTTGGCTGTAGCAGGGGGGAAATGTGTTGACATGTAGAGATGAGTCTCTCTGATGTATAGAGACTGGGAACGGACAGTGGGGCTGGAGGGAAAGAGGGAAAGAGGGATGGAGGGGAGGAGGGAAAGAGGGATGAGGGGAGGAGGGATGGAGGGGAGGAGGGGAGGAGGGATGAAGGGGAGGAGGGAAAGAGGGGATGGAGGGGAGGAGGGATGGAGGGGAGGAGGGATGAAGGGGAGGAGGGAAAGAGGGATGAGGGATGGAGGGATGGAGGGGAGGAGGGATGGAGGGGAGGAGGGAAAGAGGGATGAGGGGAGGGGGAAAGAGGGATGGAGGGGAGGGGGAAAGAGGGATGGAGGGGAGGGGGAAAGAGGGATGGAGGGGAGGAGGGAAAGAGGGATGGAGGGGAGGAGGGAAAGAGGGATGAGGAGGGAAAGAGGGATGAGGAGGAGAGGAGGAGGGAAAGAGGGATGGAGGGGAGGAGGGAAGGAAGGAGAGCGAAACGCGATCCATAGGGAGGAGTAGGAGAAAGAAGGAGAGGAGGAGAGGGTGGGAGCATGGGAGAGATGTCTGAGTGTGGATGGAGAGGCAGGAGGGGAGGAAAGGTGTGAGGGCAGTAGAAGGATGAGGAGTTGATGAGGTATGAGGACTGGGAAGGAAAGAGGGATGGAGGGGAAGAGGGAAAGAGGGAGTGGAGGGGAGGAGGGAAAGAGGGATGAGGGGAGGAGGGAGGAGGGGAGGAGGGAAAGAGGGATGGAGGGGAGGAGGGAAAGAGGGATGAGGGGAGGAGGGATGGAGGGGAGGAGGGATGGAGGGGAGGAGGGATGGAGGGGAGGAGGGAGGAGGGGAGGATGGAGGGGGAGGGAGAGGGAGGAGGGATGGAGGGGAGGAGGGAAAGAGGGATGGAGGGAAGAGGGATGGAGGGGAGGAGGGAAGAGGGAGGAGGGGAGGAGGGAAGAGGGATGAGGAGGGAAAGAGGGATGAGGAGGGAAAGAGGGATGAGGAGAGGAGGGAAAGAGGGATGAGAGGAGGGGAAGTAGTAGCAACGCGATCCATCAGGGAGGAGATAGAGAACAGAAGGAGAGGAGAGGGTGGGGCATGGAGAGATAAATGGTAGGGCCTGCTACTCGTTCATCACTCAGCCTTCATGACATGGGGCGCGAGAACACACACTCACGCGCACTGAAGGAACATTCTCACTCATGTTAGAACATATAATTGTACACAGCACAAAAACAGACACACCCTTGGCCACAAACACTAAAAACACACAAGCTTGATTATGTGTGAGCAAGCACACCCTGTGTATTCCATGTAGCGTGGTCCCCTTGTCAGTACCTTCATCCAGCATGCTCCAATACCCCAGAGAAAAACCACAGTCACATCCCACAGCCTCAGTCAACCCAGACTAGACCTGGGTTAAAACACATGAGTCAAATACTTTACACATTTGAGGTGCGCTTGATATGGCTTGGGAGTTTTGGGACTATTCAAAAGGTTCCATTGTACCGGGTAAACTAAATGAAGTGCAGCTCAAGTATCTGAAAGCATTCAACATACAGCATGTATTGACACAAGGCTGGTTCATACCATTCCGGTGATGGGAGCCAGCCCCATCGTGGGGGGGTGGAGACAGGACGGGACAGGACAGGACAGGGTGGCGTTAAAAAAAAAGATTAGGAGGAACGCTGGGTGTTTATACCTGCGGGGGTGAGCACCAGGGCCTGTAGGATGTCCGACAGGGACACAATGCCCACGATCCGGGCATTCTCATCCACCACCACCAGTCTGTGCACCTGGGGACGAGAGAGGAGGCGAGGGGGAAAAGGGGGGGGGGGGGTGAAAAGGAGCAGGAGGGGAAGAGAAAGGGGAAGAGGACAAGTGAAAAGGAGGCGAGGGGGGAAAAGGGGGAGCAAACAAAAGAAAAGGAGAGGGTGCTTATTATTAGTATTAGTAGTATTATTAGGCTACCATATCTGAGACTGTGACAGGAGAGGGTTTTGAAGGTCAGTTGTGTGTGTGTGTGTGTGTGTGTGTGTGTGTGTGTGGTGTCAGTCAATCTCACCTCTGCTTTGACTATCCTGTCCACGATGGTCTCCAGTGTCTCGAGCCGGTTGCACTTCATGACGCCCTCAAAGTACTGCGAGCGATGCCTCAGAGCCTGGGTCACTGTGATGTCCAGGTTGTTGTAGGTCTTCTCAGCAGCAAGGTTCTACACACAGCAAAGACAAACAACTGAATGTTCACTTATGATAATAAATATTAATCAACAACTTAATCAACTTTTTAAACAGGTGTTTGATGAAGTGTTAAGGAAAGGGATACAAAAAATAAAGAAAAAAGGGATTACTTACAATGACATCAAACTTGGAATAGATATCCACTACTTTTCCTGAAAAGATCAAAACCAAAAGAGATTCAGAATCCAACTTCACTAAAACCATACACTCAACATGTACAGCACTTACATAAATGACTGATAAGGCTGAAATAAATTGATAATAGTCAGCTTGTGGAAGCTGTTTTGTTAGACTCCAGTGCAGCTTTTGATATTATCGATCGTAATCTGCTGCTGGAAAAACTTGGGTTATGGCTTTACAACCCCTGCTATATTGTGGATAAAGAGTTACCTGTCTAACAGAACACAGAGGGTGTTCTTTAACGGAAGCCTCTCCAACATAGTCCAGGTAGAATCAGGAATTTCCCAGGGCAGCTGTCTAGGCCCTTTACTTTTTTCAATCTTTACTAATGACCTGCCACTGGCACTGAGTAAAGCCTGTGTCTATGTATGCTGATGACTCAATATTAGCTACCACAGCAAGTGAAATCACTGCAACACTTAAAGTAAAAAGCTAGTACTAATATTTCAAAAACTAAAAGCATTCTATTTGGGACAAACCATTCCCTAAACCTCAACTAAATCTTGTAATGAATAATGTGGAAATTGAGCAGGTTGAGACTAAACTGCTTGGTGTGACCCTGGATTGTAAACGGACAAGGTCAAAACATATTGATGCAACGGTAGCGAACATGAGGAGAGGTCTGTCCGTAATAAAGTGTTGCTCTGCTTTCTTGACATTGCTATCAACAAAACAAGTCCTACAGGCCCTAGTTTTGTCGCACCTGGACTACAGCCCAGTCATATGGTCAAGTGCAAAAATGAGGGACATAGGCAAATTACAGTTGGCCCAGAACAGAGCAGCACAGCTCGCCCTTAAATGTACATGGAGAGCTAACATCAATGACATGCAGAGACCCATGCATACCCCACAAGACGTCTCTTCACAGTCCCCAAGTCCAGAACAGACTCCAGGAAATGCATAGTACTACATAGAGCCATGACTACATGGAATTCTATTCCACATCAAGTAACTCATGCAAGCAGTAAAATCAGATAAAAACTACACCTTTTGGAACAACGCGGACTGTGAAGAGACACACACACGCTAGCACACGCACTCTACACACACGTACATTGTAATATTGTTGTATGGTGGTATTATAAATGTTGTATTGTCGATATGTAGTGGTGTAATAATGTTATATGATATAATGTTTTATATTTTATTTTATGTGTGATGTAAGTGCCTTAATGTGTTTGGAACCCAGGAAGAGTAGCTGCTGCTTTGGCAGGAACTAATGGGGATCCCTAATAAATACAAATACACTACCACGTTTGCTCAGCCTGAAGCGCGCGCACGCACACACACACTCAGCCTTTCCACACACACCTGACTCATCCACCACAGGCAGTGCGGACACCCTCCGGTCCACAAAGATATTGAGGGCCTTGATGATGGGTGTGTCAGGGTGGATGAAGGCGATGTTGTGGTAGGTCCCAATGGTTAGTTCCTCCAAGGTCTGCTTCATAAAGGCAGGCTTAGGCATCTCACACACCTGGGAGAAAACGTTTGGAAATGTTAGAAAACAGACAAACCTGGCAGAACTACCTGGACATGTCCAATGAGAAACACTTTTCGAAATGTTGTAATAGGTTTTTCGTTGCGTGACCTAATGAACATGAACTTGAGATACAGGACACTTTAGGACTAAACTGGTTTCACCTCCATTTGACTGTCTAATGTAGTGTGTCAGCACTGTCTTTCTATCAGTCTACCGGTCCCATTTTTGATATGTCTGTCTGGTTTGTCTGACCTTCGTGCGTGCCCTGCTCATATTACCATGAATGTCTGTCTTTTTTTCAGTCCATCTGTCTCATATTCTCTATGTCCGTCTGTCGGTCTTGTATTCTGTCTGTCTATTCCTGTGTGTGTGCAATCACCTCTGGTCTATCACTTCTTAGTGCGGCAGGTAGCCTAGCAGTTAAGAGCGTTAGGTCAGTAACCAAAAGGTCACTGGTTCGAATCCCCGAGCCGGCAAGGTGGGAAAAAAATCTGCCTTTCTGCCCTTGAGCAGGGTAATTAACCCCCAACAACAACTGCTCCTTGGTCACCGATGACGTGCATGTCGATTAAGGCTGCCAACCGCACCGCTCTGATTCAGAGGGGTTGGGTTAAACGCGGAAGACACATTTTAGTTGAATGCATTCAGTTGTGCAACTGACTAGGTATCTCCTTTCACCTTCTCCTAACCCGCGACAGACGGATGTCAAGTAGGTTCATATTTCCTAACGTCTTTCCTGTGGTCTACTTTATTATGCAGAGATGGTTTACATTTCACACTCACTTCTACAGGTCAGACACCTTCACCTAGACAAGACTGCTTCTCTATCCAGCAACCTGCTTCAGTACTACCTTAACGCAACCAATTCAGTCATTTCAACTAAATTGAATTAAATTCATAGGAATTTAAGGAATCCTCCTTGAATTCCAGCAGTCGAACCGATTGAATGAATTTAAAATCATTTCCTGAATAAATGGATTTGAAACTGGTAACTACATTATATAGTCGTTACATTCTCATCGCTAGACTTGAGATCATCCCAGGCAAGTCAGATAGAATAAACCACGTGTCAAACTCATTCCACAGAGGGCCGAGTGTCTGCGGGTTTTCGCTCCTCCATTGTACTTGACTGATGAATTAAGGTCACTAATTAGTAAGGAACTCCCCTCACCTGGTCGTCTAGGTCTTAATTGAAAGACACTAGGGCCTCCATGGAATGAGTTTGACACCCCTGGATTAAACTAATCCTCTCCTGAATCAGATAAGGACAGCCTCTCTATCCTTTCCTCATCCTGCCTTTGTAGGTTTCCTCCTTTTCTTTCTCTCATCACATCCTTCCCCTCGATTTTCCCGCTTCCAGAGTGTGTTACCTTCAATCCCGCAGAGATCCAACAGGGGGCAGCATGCTCTTAAGTTCCCACCCACTGTGTGTTTATTGCTATAAGAGAGCCCATGCTTCATCCATCCAGATTGACTTACGAAGAGCTGGAGGAACTTGAGGATCCTCTTGTGCGTGAGGATATAAAGTGCGTTGCCGCTGACTGGGTCGATGACGGGCAGCCGGTGGATCTTGTTCTTGATGAGCGAGTACACCGCATCGAATATGCTGAGAGGGGGGGGGGGATCAAGAGAAGATTGGGTAAAATAACACAGACAACCTGTCTTTGCCAATAAAGCACTCAAGACAGAGGGTGTTGATACATTGACTCTCTCTCCATCAATCGTCTCCATCTTTAAAACAGCACGTTGTGGTCGAGTCTCCAGAAAAACAGGTTCACAGTCTAGGCTACCTTTTTAAGTACTGCATTGAAATGCTACAGTACCTAACAGAGGCGCCATAAAACACTAAGTGGACCTGATTCAGCGAAAGGCTCAAGCAAATTGACCAGATGATGTGCAAACACAAAGTATCCATACGCATTAGACCAGGAATCACACAGGAAGTCATCAGAATCAAGGGGCTAACTAGGAAGGCAAAAAGTTGTGCTCTCATTCTCTCTCCCCGTTGCTCTCCTTCCATCTCTCCTTCACAGACTCAAACCAAATACTCTATCAGAAAACCAAACCATGAAGACAGCTGAATCAGTCATTAAGCAATTCAATGACGCTGGTGTTCTCCAAAAAAGGAGCCAGAACCCAAACCAGAGGCATTTGTTGGTTAACCTGAGATGATGCAGTAGTCGAGTACCCTAGGTGGTATTTTAAGCAGAGGGGTTTTTAAGAGTCTGGCCCGTATGTCTTTTCACGAAATGGACCTTGAATTATTCAGAGTGAAGGAAATAAACGATGGGAAAGTCTCTGTGTCGCAGAGCAGGGAACAACAATACGAGGGGAAAGCACCAGACCTTTTCCCAGAAATCTAGGGAACGTACAACATACATGAAACTCCACCTGGGAGAGCATATTGACAGTAAATTACTACCTACAACGCTACCTGTAAATTCTAAACTGAGTGAGGAAGCCAGGCTAATTTGCAGTGCTTATGACCATAGAAATACAATTCTAAGTTTATGACTATGATGTGAAAAAAAAAAAAAGAAGACAAATTAGATTTCACATTAGATTACTCAATCAACTGAGATGAATATGGACTGTTCGTATAATGGACTGATTAAACCCAATGGAAGTCCCTCTATGTAATGATGAGCAAAGCGCTCCCAATGGGCTGTATACTGTAAGTTAATCATGAACGGATCATTGCTATCCTGTTCATAGATCTGCAGGTTAATTTCACCCCAACATAAATGTGTTTTATTTGAACTTCCATCATAAAATAAAGACATATGAAATGCAGGTGACATGTATAAGAAATGCGGAACAGGCTCACCTTGCATCGGGTGATATGTTCACTAACGGCTTAAAGGTTTCTTGTAGGTAGAGCTCTACAGGACAGAAACAGGAAGAACAAAAAGCATCAAACTATCAAATCAATTTCTTTATCATCTGTTGAACAACTGATAAAATGGGTTGTTTTGAAACTGGAAAGTTGCTGGAAAGTCCCCATACCTCTCCATGTTTCAATCTTATGTTCCTCCAGCTCATAGATTTGTACCTATAAGACAGAACATTCAACAATTAGTGATGTTTAACATTCTTTCCATGATTTAAACGTGGCAGATAGTATTACATTTAGAATGTTTTTGTTAGAATTATAACTTAATAAATATATAAATCACAGCAATTCTCTCAAGAGAAAAAAAACACATGACGTCATGAAAAATCAAACAGGTGGGAAAGTTACCAAAATTTGGCACCGCTATCTCCGAGTTATCGCTCAGCCAAAGACAGAGGCACTGACTATTTCCTCATCAATATGCATAAGTCTGATATGGAAGGTTCCCTAGAGGGGTCTCAAATCGGGTCCACCTCAGAACTCTCTGATGTAAAACAAGACAGTTATGAGAACCGCTGCTAATGAATAACAACAGCAAAGAAAGGAAGGGGGGGGAGGGAGAGAGTAGTAGGTCCTCAATGACTTCATTACAAAAACAAAGGCCTTTTCTATGGTACCCATGGCTACATTGAGCCCATGAGGCGAATATGAACAGCTGGGGATTTGCTAGGTAATGCGTGTCGTTGAAGCTTTTTTTCTTTAGAGTGGTTGTGTGACAGACTAGCGAGGTGGATGGAGGACAGACCAAATGGCCTATGAGCTCTATCGGCTCTTTAAGTACCCTTAGGCAGACGAAGTAGAGAGAATTAGAATACAATAGTCAAAGGCCTTTTCTGTTCTTCTGTAAACAACAGCCACATCGCATTCACAATCATAAAATTACTGATCCAGGACTTGGAGTGTGTGTGTGTGTGTGTGTGTGTGCGTGTGCGTGTGTGCGTGTCAGCTTGACCACAAACTCACTCCAAAAGTCCACAAACAAACTAAAGGCCGTTGGGCAGCCCACTCGTCTGTCAGTCCAGACTAGAGGAACAGTGACTCATCTCTGAGTAGGGTTGCAAAATTCAGGTATCTTTTACAAAATTCCCAGGTTTTCCATAAATCCCAGTTGGAGGATACCTGGGATTTATGGAAAACCTGGCAATTTTTGGAAAGATACCGGAATTTGGCAACACTATCTCTGAGTGATCTCTCAGTCTTAGCCAATAACAGAGGCACTAACTAGTTCCTCATGAATATGATATGGAAGGATTGACAAACGCTTCACTGCATTGGTTGTTCTTGACTATGGATTATCTCTAATAATAGCCATTAGGGTGACGACACACTATGTCACCGTCTCCTGGCCTAATAAATACCAATGAGTATTTGGGCCAGAGAATATCCCAAGAGAGCTAGCCTCACTAGCTGGGCTTTCTATAATGTGTGTAATATGCAGGAGTGACCACTCAGGTAACACTGGAGCACCGAAACTCCCTACTCTCACCACTGACAATGCTTCCATTGAGTCAAATTACATTATGACCGACACATTTTATTTTTTACTATTAATTCATGCTATGTCAAATGTATTTTCCAACTGAAAATCATTGGTCATTGTCCGTAACTGTTTGTGCTGCTATTTTGACCAGGCCTCTCTTGAAAAAAATATGATAATACTGCACTCTGCTGTTATGGAGTTAAGCTTTAGCTGTACCAGGGAGAACTCCTAGAAAACAGCTACACAGAAGTGGCTCTCATTACACAACACAGCTGAGCTGAGCAATGCAGGGTATTTACACTACCGCCTACTGCAGTCAGCTGGTTGGCACATCTGCTGTAGTGAGTGTGAGAGAGTTCAGTGTGTGTGTGTGCTATACTTGACTATAATCAGTGTGGGTGGGGAAGTGTGGGTGAGCTGGTTTGAGAGACAGTAAAGAGCGAGTGAGAGGGAGTGGTGTGTGTGTATGTGTGAAATATGTACAGGGCAAAATGTGTAAGCCCTGGGTCAGAACAGAGAGACAGCGCTGCAGAAGCACCAACTTCTCGTGACCTGATGATTAATGATGACGTCTCTCTCCACTCTGCCTGTAAAGCTCCATGACACAGAACATACAGTGCCTGAGATGGAGGCGTTGTTTAAGCTCCCAGCCTCCCACTGCATCACTGCTGTCCAGTCAGTTCACATCGCTGGCTGTGGTGACAATAGGAAGCCGAAGCCATACAGTCAAACCATTTCAAACCACAGTCGTGTTCAGTAGTATGGACTGAAACTGGGAGGGACTACCTGGACTTGCTCAATGAGAAAACACTCATTTTGGTTTTCCGTCTGAAAATATTTGTACATTGTTTCCATTGCCCTAATGAACATGACCCAGAACTCATTCGGATCTGTCTGATGAGGGGTCACGTACCATGGGAGACTTGTAGTATCTGTGGAGGATGTTGATGAAGTCTGTGATGGTTAACATTCCTGAAGAGAGAGAGCGGGAGAGATGGAGGGAGAGAGGGAAAAAGGAGGAGTGGTCTTGTTAATTGCAGTGATTATTCACGTTGCACAGGTGTTGGATTTGTCCAAGCACATACACTCACTGGTACTGACAGAGAGAGACAAAAGAAAGAAGAGAGGAGCAGCGGAGAGGGAGGGAGGGACAGGTGGAACCGAAGAGCAATGTGTGAGATAGGGAGAGGGGGATAGGGAGAGGATAGGGGACAGGGAGAGGGGGATAGGGAGAGGATAGGGGAGGGGATAAGGGATAGGGAGAGGATAGGGGAGGGAATAAGGGAGAGGGAGCGGATAGGGAGGGATAGGGGAAGGGAGAAGGGATAGGGATGGGTGATATGGAAGGATAGGGAGGGGATAAGGGATAGGGAGGGGATAAGGGATAGGGAGAGGATATGGGATAGGGAGAGGATATGGGATAGGTAGAGGATAGGGGATAGGGAGAGGATAAGGGATAGGGAGATGATAAGGAGAGGATAGGGAGAGGATAAGGGATAGGATAGGAGGGGATAAGGGATAGGGAGGGGATAAGGGATAGGGAGAGGATATGGGATAGGGAGAGGATAAGGGATAGGATAGGGAGAGGATAGGGAGAGGATATGGGATAGGGAGGGGATAAGGGAGAGCATAAGGGATAAGGAGAGGATAGGGAGAGGATAAGGGATAGGGAGAGGATAAGGGATAAGGAGAGGATAGGGAGAGGATAGGGAGAGAGAGAGTGAAATAGATGGGCTTATTTAGATGGGACATTCTCTCTCTACACACCACACACCCTCCTCATTGAGGTCAGTATAGCCTAGGGGTGAGACGGAACAGTGGAGTGGAACAGAGAGGGCTTGATTCTTAGTAAAGCCCATCTGTGCGTGTCATACACTCACACAGTCTTTCTCTCTCGCTCTCTCAGTTGAGTGGACAAGTGGGCTTGATTTTTTATGTAAAAAATAATTAAAAACAGGTTCAGCCCCTGGTTCGACGTGATCTGGCAGAGTTACTCCACCTCAAGAATTCCATTTGGCAAAAGGCTCGGCACACGCTTACGCAGGCTGACGTTCAGACAAATGAGAAATAAGTGCACTCAGGCTATCCGGAAGGCTAAAGCTAGTTACTTTAAGGAGCAGTTCTCTCTCTGTGGGTCTAACCCCAAGAAGTTCTGGAAAACGGTTAAAGACCTGGAGAATAAACCCTCCTCCTCACAGCCGTTAATGCTCATTAATGTTGATGATGTGGTTGTTACTGACAAAGAGCACATGGCTGAGCTCTTTAATCACCACTTCATTAAGTCAGGACTGACTCAGCCATGCCTCCTTGCCCGTCCAACATTTCCTCATCTCCCAGTCCTTCTAATGCGACCAGCCCCGATGCTCCTCCCTCTTTTTCCCCTACAAAGTTTCTCCCTGCAGGCGTTCAGAGTACGAGGTGCTAAAGGAGCTCCTTAAACTTGACACCAAAAAAACTATCTGGGTCAGATCGTTTAGACCCTTTCTTCTTTAAGGTTGCAGCCCCTATCATCGCCAAGCCTGTCTCTGACCTTTTTAACCTGTCTCTCCTCTCTGGGGAGGTTCCCATTGCCTGGAAGGCAGCCACAGTGCATCCTTTATTTAAAAGGGGAAGATCAAGCTGATCCTAACTGTTATTGGCCCTGTTTATCAAAAGTGTTGGAAAAACGTGTCAATAATCAACTGACTGGCTTTTTTTATGTCTATAGTATTCTCTCTGGTATGCAATCTGGTTTCCGCTCAGGTTATGGATGTGTCACTGCAACCTTAAAAGTCCTAAACGATGTCACCATTGCCCTTGATTCTAAGTAATGTTGTGCTGCTATTTTTATTGACTTGGCCAAAGCTTTTGATACGGTAGACCATTCCATCCTTGTCGGCCGGCTAAGGAGTATTGGTGTCTCTGAGGGGTCTTTGGCCTGGTTTGCTAACTACCTCTCTCAAAGAGGGCAGTGTATAAAGTCCGAACATCTGCTGTCTCAGCCACTGCGTGTCACCAAGGCAGTACCCCAAGGCTCGATCCTAGGCCCCACGCTCTTCTCACTTTACATCAACAACATACCTCAGGCAGTAGGAAGCTCTCTCATCCATTTATATGCAGATGATACAGTCTTATACTCAGCTGGCCCCTCCCCGGATTTTGTGTTAAACACTCTACAACAAAGCTTTCTTAGTTTCCATCAAGCTTTCCCTGCCCTTAACCTTGTTTGGAACACCTCCAAAACAAAGGTAATGTGGTTTGGTAAGAAGAATGCCCCTCTCCCCACCGGTGTGATTACTACCTCTGAGGGTTTAGAGCTTGAGGTAGTCGCCTTATACATGTACTTGGGAGTATGGCTAGACGGTACACTGTCCTTCTCTCAGTACATATCAAAGCTGTAGGCTAAGGTTAAATCTAGATTTGGTTTCCTCTATCGTAATCACTCCTCTTTCACCCCAGCTGCCAAACTAACCCTGATTCAGATGACCATTCTACCCATGCTAGATTACGGAGACGTAATTTATAGATCGGCAGGTAAGGGTGCTCTCGAGCGGCTAGATGTTCTTTATCATTCAGCCATCAGATTTGCCACCAATGCTCCTTATAGGACACATCACTGCACTCTATACTCCTCTGTAAGCTGGTCATCTCTGTATACCCGGCGCAAGACCCACAGGTTGATGCTTATTTATAAAACCCTCTTAGGCCTCACTCCCCCCTATCTGAGATACCTACTGCAGCCCTCATCCTCCATATACAACACCCGTTCTGCCAGTCACATTCTGTTAAAGGTCCCCAAAGCACACACATCCCTGTGTCGCTTCTCTTTCCAGTTCACTGCAGATAGCGACTGGAATGAGCTGCAAAAAACACTCAAACTGGACAGTTTTAACTCCATCTCTTCATTCAAAGACTCAATCATGGACACTCTTACTGACAGTTGTGGCTGCTTCGCGTGATGTATTGTTGTCTCTACCTTCTTGCCCTTTGTGCTGTTGTCTGCGCCCAATAATGTTTGTACCATGTCTTGTGCTGCTGCCATGTTGTGTTGCTACCATGTTGGGTTGCTACCATGCTGTGTTGTCATGTGTTGCTGCCATGCTATGTTGTTGTCTTAGGTCTCTCTTTATGTAGTGTTGTCTCGCTTGTTGTGATGTGTGTTTGGTCCTATATTTATATATATTTATTTGTTTAATCCCAGCCCCCGTCCCAGCAGGAGGCCTTTTGGTAGGCCGTCATTATAAATAAGAATTTGTTCTTAACTGACTTACCTAGTTAAATAAAAAATGTGTGTGTGAGGCTCCAGGGAGACATCAGGCTCTACAGTCACATCCTAGTGATGCAGCCGGGACAGTTACACAATATGGATGTCCCCTAACCATAGGTGGGCACATAGCATTATTGTTCAATGTATCCTTGATTCCATTGTTGAAAAACATATAGACCAATACGGTAAGAATACACTATTGTGTCAATTGCTGCCATCTCAAATTAGCACTAGTGAATGGTAGCCCATGGCTCATTATAAATGGTCTGCCTGTCTGTGTCTGCTCTCAGAGCCGGCTAGAGAGGAGAGAGAACAGTATTTATAGCAGTCTCCATGACGCTGGCCCAGATACAAGGAGAGGAGACGAGAGGAGCCCGCCTCTTGAGGGGAAGGAGAGGGGATGAGGAGTCAAAATGGAGGGAAGAGAGAGCCGACTGAAAGGATGGAGAGAAATGGAGCAAAGCGTAATTTAAAGGTTAAGGAGGCAGAGGAGAGGAGGAGAGGAACGAGTGCATGAGGGAGAGAGAGAAAAGATGGATAGAGCAGAGACAGAAAGGGGGGAGGGGGATGAGGAGAGGGACGTACAGTGCAAAGATGGAAGCGTTACTAAGAGGATGGGTAGAAGGGAGGGATAGCATAAACATAAAAGTGGGGTGGGGGGGGGGTCTAAGGACGAGGGGACTGGGGATTTTATGGGGGGAAAAAGAGACGAGGCAATGATTATATTAGGGGGGAGGGTATTATGGATGTTGCTTGCCATGATGTCTGAGTGATCCAACAGATTTAGGCTAGAGAGAGATTCCTGTGTTACATAATTTTCAGTGCATCTCCTGGATGTACTGGATGTGTGTGACTGATTTCAATATGTGTGTGAACACAGGTCACCAGTGCCCTCCCGCAGTGGAAAGTGAAACCATTGGACACAGTGTTCCCTGTGCTGTGTCCTCCTGCACAACTCTTCCACTGTACTGCCCGTGTTCCTTTAAGACTGACTGAGTTCTCCTCAGTGCTCCTGAGACAGACTGGTGAGTCACAGGAACCCTGTGCTGCTGTGGGAGGGAACAGGCCAGCCCAGCAGGACGTCTTTGTGAAGGAACACGACTGTCATAACAGGTTTTTAAAAAGCCAAGGAGGCAGGGCTCCGTTTCAGAGGGGACGACTATGGCGGGGACACCCACATTTTCTATTTTGGACAGAGTATATAATTTGATCTACTTTCCTCATCACCTCTCAGTTTCTATACCTCCCCTCTTCTTTATAGTTGTGATACCCTCATCTTTCCCTCTTCCCAGACTGACAATTTCTCCCTAAGAAGTTGATTTGGTTCCATTCTGTTCACTATGTATGGAAAATAATACAGTAACCTTCGACTGGAAAAAACTAAACTTTTTCCACTTACCAACAAAGCTCTGCTTCTTAGTCTCCCATAGTGGGGCTGCCCGCACCCCGTTGGCAACCAAGGCGAAGAAGGCCTTTTTTACCTACAGGCAAAAAGAACAAACAACAATATTTTTACAATACTTTCTAAACAGGTATTTTATAATGTGGGTGGAATAGAGCAGCGTTTTCCACCACTTCCCAGCCCCCTCTGCCTACCAAGCTCCCAGTAGGTGGGTCAGTCAACACAGCATATCCCCCCTAAAGAGTGTGTTTCTGGGCAGGGCAGGGTTTCATCACACCTCCCTGGCTGTGTCTGTCTGTCAGTTAGCACTCACGGCTTCCTCCCCATTACCGCTAGCCACTGTGTGGTTAGATGTAGGCTACCAAGGACCTGTTAACTGGGGGCAGGTACACAGTACTGTGGCGTTTCTTCACAAAAAAAGAATACTGCTGTGTGTTGTTCTGGTGGTTTGACTTTTGTTCTCTGTAACCAACAGGCAGCGGAAACAATTTCCCTCTCAGGACCATTGAGTATCTAATCTTTCCATCTATCTACTTTCATTATGAGAATAATGCCCCCTGGGCCCAGTTTTTCAAAGGTTATCTATCCGGAATTCAGCTATCGGATAGAATTAAATGCAAAGAAATAGAATGAATAGAACAGGAGTCCTCATTCAAGATGGTATATAATCAAAGATTCTAGTTTAGATCTTTGTATATCTAAGCCAGAGTCACATCTACCTGACTGACTGGATGCATACTGTACCATGACTCCATTCACCTCAGCTGGGGGTAAAATAACTACGTAAAGTCGTAAGGGGCTTGTGTAGACATGCTGAACAGATACCATTTCCTCATTAGAATGAATTCCCATGGGCATTCATTGTGAAGAGCTCAACCGGGGAAGCAGGTAACTGGCAATATCGTAATCCTACTGATATCATATCATTGTACTGCACATCCCAAGACACTAAATGACTTAAAACCATGACACCGCAAAGTGAAACCACAGATGATAATATCCCACTACAAAGACAAATGCATGGTTGTCTCTCAAATTGAATTTTTAAAAGGCTGTGAGGCATTCATCTCCAATGCTAACTGTCTGGAAATGAACACACAAGCATGCTATTAAACCCCATTGTCTCCAGGCAATGTAAAACATTTATGAGAGCGTCACTGCTTTTCTTTTGGCATTTGTAAAAGCGTAATCTTAAGACATTAAAGTTTAATGAGGCCGTGGAGCCATAATGAGAAGGTTTCTTTAGCCTTCACATGGAAACTTTAATCTTCCATTGTTCTGGGCTGCTGGTCTGGACAAGCATTCAATTAAAGATTGGGAATCGGATAAGCAACTACTAGCAGTCACAACTTGGATGTGATCAGAGCTATAGGGCTGACCTATTTTCCAATCATTAAATTTTTTTATATTCCAGTAAGGGGGAGGGACGGCCTGTTTTCCTATCTTAGTTTCCTAATCCACATGTCAAAGTCAACTGTATACTGTGTGTACAGTGGACTGTATAGTCACGTTTTTTTGTTCTTGATAAAATAGCCTAATAAAGTTGTCCTCCAGAAAAACATTAAATAATGAATTCACAATGTTTTCCATCAATTTACGGGAAACATTGTTTTTGACAATTCTGGAACTTCGGCAAAGTTTCTGATATTTCTCAACCCTGGCAAGGACTGACCACTTATCCAACCAATAATAAAAGTATATTCCAGTAAGGGGGAGGGACGGCCTATTTTCCTATCTTAGTTTCCTTATCCACATGCCAAATACATTCCCTATATAAAGAAAAATAACCCCCTCATTGGCTGCAGAGAGTTCCTGAAGACTTCAACTTTTCCTGCCAAACCCTCTATAAAACTTGACATATAAAGAGAACTACGCAAGCTAAAAGACTACACAGAACTGACCTGTCTTGACAAGAAAAGGTTTTAAGAATGAAGGGAGTTGTCGTCCTACTAATACTGTCTCTGTGCCTCACACTGTCTGGGGCACAAGGTGAGGGGGACCAGGCGGGGACCAGTTTGTCTTACTGTGTGCCTGACACCTGCTCCTTTATCAGAGAGCTGGCTGTCCTGAAGGAGAAACTAGGAACCATGGACCAGAAACTAGTAGCTGTGGAGACCAGGCTACAAGCCAGCGTGAGCCAGGTGGATGAACTGAAAAGTACAAACAAAGCTCAGGAAGAAGAACTGAAGACATTAAAGAAGGACATAGCAGCTGGTCAGCCAAAGGTGGCCTTCTCTGCAGCACTAAGAACGTCTGGTTCTGGGAACATCGGACCCTTCACCACTGACATACCCTTACAGTACAAAAGAGTCTTCTCCAACTTCGGCAGTGGATACAACCCTGCTACAGGTGTCTTCACAGCCATGGTCAAAGGAGTGTACTATTTCCGCTACACCATGTTCTACAGTGGAAACGCCAATGCTGTCGTGTCTTTGAGGAAGAACAGCCAGATGCTTGTGTCCTCGTGGGACGTTGGTTCCGGACCTGCACAAGACTTCGCCAGCAATGCAGCCGTAGTGGAGCTGGAGGTGGGAGACAGTGTCTACGCCCAGCTCAGTGCTAACAGGGAAGTCTTTGAAGATGGCGGAAACTACAACACCTTCAGTGGGTTTTTACTCTTTCCCATGTAATATCAGTAACACGTTTACAGTTCATTTGGCTGTACATAAGAGAAGGGTTTTGGGAAAATACATCACAACAGTATGAAAGTAAAACAAAATAAAAAGTTTACAAAAATACAAAGTTGCGCTCTGATTGAACTGTGATGTCGAGACAGGGCCTGGTGTACTAGACAAATATATATATATATTGCATTGTTGTGACTGGCGCACTGATCAAAGGTCACTGTCTGCTGTAATAGTTGTGGTTTGATGTTTAATGAAGAACAGGTTCAAGCTGGTTGACTGAGGTGTTGGGGACGGTTGTGTTTGTTGATCTTCTCCATTGTTGTGACTGCTGGACTGTAGCCGTTTCATTAAAGCCTTCTTACTGCTTCCTTGTTTTCACTGACATCTCTGTAGACTGAAGTGTAGTGTGTTCTAACCATGGAGGGATCAGACCCCCAAGAGACATGGTGGATCAGAGATAACACTTCTCTGGATTAAAATATAGAGCATTTTAATTGCAGATGCCTATCGAGTCACAAGGTCGCACATTTTTCTAGCTGGTGCTTTTGAAGATAAAACAGTGGGAGAGATTACTAGGGGTTTTAATGTGTGACAATCTTCAAGAAAGAGGAACTGAAATAGACTTAAGATGCCTTCCAATCACAGAGAGGATATCATAATAGTCTATTCTGGCCAGAGGAGTAAGTCTCCAGCTCATTTTTGTGCTGCAGTTAAATACTCCATAAAGACATTTGTACCACTTTCCAACACAAGACCATAACGGAGATTACATGTTTAACAAAGCAGATCAATTAGTAACCGGAGACATAGTATCATGGCTCAAGCCATGACGCAATTGCGTTTAAAGTTACTACAGTCGATAAAACAACAAATACAAAATGTTGCTATTGACCACCTGTCTAGATAGAACATTATTAGCAGGCGGGACTACAGAACAATGTTTTGCGACAGAAGTCTTTATACAGTATGAGATGTTCAATAGACAGAGCACTTACCTGCAGAGTAGTGTCAAAAACCACAAGCTTAGAGCTGGTAGGAACAATGTCGTAGCACTTGTGTGACTTCATAAAGCGCATGTAGATATCACTTTCGGATTCTTCAACAGCTGAAAGTAAAGCACATATATGCACAAGCATTAATTCAATGTTCTACCTGGAAATCATTAATAAACAAAATACTAGGAATGGAACAACAATGGAAATCCTGATGCCTTGACCAGTAATGAGAAGGTCAAAGGGATGCACCGATTCATGGTTTGCCCTATGCACATCCCAGTTCCATATTCTCTTTGAAGAAGACATGGAGAAAATGACTTCCCAGGCATTTTCATTTGGCTACAAAATATAATCTCTCAAAACCACTACATTGTTGTGTGAGATATCCTCGGTGTCTGATATCGCCTTTCTTCTGAAAGGACCTGAATTTAAAGGGTATATTCAATGAACTAAGAGACTGGAAGTTTTTTAATTGCTGACTAGTCTGACTCAATCTCCAGGGCAGGTTGCCATGGTAATTCTCACTGTACTATTCAGATACACTAAACATATTTTTTTTGTTAAGCTCTCGAGACAACAGGGCAGTCGATTGTTCTGTGGTTGGAAGGAGCAGCCATGCTCCCCACTCACCCTCCCAAAAATGTCTCCTCAAGGAGTCTAGACGATTTGGCCTACTTTGTCTGGACGTTGCCAGACATTCTGCCTGTGATTTGTACCGACGCTGCCGTCTAACTGCTGTGCCGTCTGTACACCTGCGTCTGCTGCTGTGGCGGCTCGCTGTCTGTGTCGGTGTATCAGGTCAATGCGTAAGACCGACAGCTCCACTCCCATGGCTTTCGCCCTGTCGGTTCTAATGACGGGTGAAGGAGCTGTGTCGACACCTCTGCCGATGGTCACAGCCCAGGACCATACATATCACAACCCGGGGATCCGAGCCCGATGCCGCATGTAGCATTGCTAAACCACAGTCAACGCCTAAAAAGGAATGTGAATCAACTGTATATCCATGTACGTTTTGCCACTTGAAATGAATCTAATAATAATCATGATAATCTCTCTTCCATCTGCTTTGTCCTAGATGTTCACAACCCAACAATCCCTAAATAGCTCTGTTAAACTTTGCTCCTTTGCTATGCAGAGCAGCAGGAGAATGCAGCCTTACAAACCTGAGAGGAACGAGATGTATTTGATTGAGACTACCTCAACCTGGTTTAAGACAACCCTACTGTAGTCAGAATGGCCTCCCAAAAAATTTAGCATTTATATGTATTGTGTTATCAATAAAATATAGAGAGTGTGTTCTCTGGGAAACCTCGGAACTTAAACCACTATAGGTTAGGGTATCAAACAGAGAGCTTTTATAGAGCGCACAATGCACATACCAACTTCCAAAATCCCTTAACACAATGGCTATGGCTGCTGCCCAAAGCTATTGCCTCACGATCACACCCCCACCTAAACAGCCCCAATAATCTCCTAGTAAAACTGCTCTGAGCGTCTGAGTATTTCGATTTACCCGAGCACAGGCTTGACACTCTGGCAAGCAGCCATGTTGGCTATGCTGAGAATTGAATTACTGTAGAATGGTCCGTTTGTTGTTTTGAAGAGCCTTGATGATTCACATTTTACCAACATTGAAAGAAGGCAGCAGTAGCCTGCCATCTCACAGCCTACTGAATGATGATTGTCTCATATTTGTGGCTTAACTTAAAAAACAAAATGGGGGAAAAAACCCACAAATGGTGTAAATAGGATTTAGTGAAAACCCAGATGTCTGGTGTTGATCCCTTTATGTAAACCTCTACAGAGTATATCTAGGCTATTTCCATTAGAATGGAATGTTATGTAATAATGGTACAATGATGATAATTTCACAAGTATTTTCTGTAATTAAAGGTATAGTAACATTATAGTGTTCAGGTCTGTGCAGTTCTACCCATCCAAAGGTAATTACATTTTTACATTTAGTCATTTAGCAGACGCTCTTACCCAGCGCGACTTACAGTTAGTGAGTGCATACATTTTCATACTGGCCCCCCGTGGGAAACGAACCCACAACCCTGGCGTTGCAAGCGCCATGCTCTACCAACTGAGCTACAGGGGACTATTAAGTAATCAACCACTAGATAGCACCTCTATGAATGGGCATAGCCAGCATAGCTTTCATCTAATCATTTCTTATTTGACAACCTGTCAACTCAATAGGCTACTGATTAAACATGAAAATGTTGCCCAATGTGTTGAAGACCGTGTCAAGTGACCTGAACTCACTGTACTATAAGTCACTTTGGATAAGTGCGTCTGATAAGTGGCATACATATTATATTTCAGTCCCATGTAAAGTTTAGGGTAGCTGCCTAGGTGGGTAGATGGTGGCTGTTTTTTCTAGTTCTACTTTTAATGTAATTGGTATTTCATTTAACGTCAGATGGTAAACACATCTGGTGAAGTCAGTCATATTCACAAACATCTAGATGAAGCTCCCTTATTCAAGGCAGAATAGCACTGCCCTGTCAGTATCCACCATCATATCTCCTTGTTCAAGCTCTTCTGTAGTGCATTTCAGATTTTATCAGGTATTTACAGCGAAGCTGAGATGCTATTTGGTATAAACACTAGGATTCAGCATTCTAAACTCATTAACATACCACTGTCAAGCTATGGGGTAACACTATCCATGCTGCAGCTGTACTGTCTCTGGGACAGCTGCCAAGCTGCAACATCACATTGTGGCTGGACTGAGGGAGGCAGCCAACAGGTTAGCAGGGATAACAGCAAACAAGTTCCCCCCTAACATATCCCTTTCACATTCACAATGACATTCGTCCCCATCCACTAAAGCTTCTATACATTGACATGATGGGCTACAGAGACGGTATATAGTTCGGTTCCACCTATGATATATTCACAATGCAGTACATGTATGCACTAAAAAGTTTTTTTGTTTGTTTAAATGCCATATTTTGATTATCAGGCTACACCACTAGAATAATGGGAATATGATCCATTAGATGGGTGGGATTGGTTAGCCAAAAATAAAATGACCACTAAATGCGTTGATGGCATGACATATGACTTGAAGGCATCATGTACTTTCCAGAGATCTCAATTGACCAATAATCAACGGGCTACATCGCCTTCGTGAACTGTAGCTTAGGCTAATTACATAGATATCATAGATCATTCACAGATCAATTTGGCTGACGCATTACCTTGTCAATTGGCATAATAAAGGTTATGAATGGGTTTGCGGATCTACTAGTTGAAAATAAATGTCCAAAAAGTTTGCAAAGAGGCTTACCTTCATCTTCTAGATCAAGTTTCTCCAGCATGCCTTCAGTTAAACCGTGGACCTGTGGACAAGAAGTAGAGGTAGTCAATTGACCGACTGACTCCTCCCGCTCCCTCTCCTCTTTCACTCCACAACCCTGCACAGGCAACGCGGGCAGCAGCGACCGGGGCGCAGTCTGTTATGAAATACTAGTAGGTCGTAGAAAAAGTAACGGTTGTCAACTACAATGTGGATACAATGTAACAAGCAGAAAGCTTCGCTAATAAAATGTAGCCTTCCCGAGTTGCAACTAGCCTTCCGAACTGCTACTGATTTGACAGTCGCCGGGCATGAGAAACTCCTCTCTTCTTGTGCGGTGCCAACACGAAAACGAGAAACACAGTCCAACCGTTTCGCGCATAAAAGGCTCCGGTGATTTTCATGGACGCATGTCTTTTCTTTCTTGCTCGGTGTTGGTAAAAAGGGTAGAGTAACCGTATTTTAGTAGACTAGAGAGCGTTCACAGGTAGCCTACATCCCGTAATTTCGTGCCGACGCTTGACGTAAAACAGGATGCATGCTACCAATCTCCTGTTCAAGTAAAAGTGGAACATTCCAGTTTGCTGCAGTCGCAGTGAAAGATACAATGGGCGCGCTCCTCTGCCCAGGCGTTGCCGACGCCTGCCAGAACCTACAACGCCTGGATAGGTATTGTACATATCAGCTAACCACATCATATGTTTTAGCAATCTGTCAGTCGATGACGCGGCACGCAACCATTGGTTGATGCAAGCGACATCTAAGCAGAGGAAGGCATTGTTTAACATTTTTCACATATTCTTGATTAGCCTAATTTCAAGACAAAACTGAACTGAGTGTCCTCCGATTACAAATTAAGATACCAGGCAGACAATGTTAATTCAGTGATTAATGAAATTGTATGCAAATGACAAGACACATTCTTCGGAGTTACACTTCACAATTTATAATGTGCCATGCTCAATCAAAACTTTGGTGCTGGACCTATCGATGTAATATTTAAACGGTGAAGTATGGAATGTGCAAAGTTATGCATGAGAGAGAGATACAGAGATGAGACCTTTGAGATTTCTCTAGATAGAAGTTGTTTACTATTGTGGTTGTTATACAGTGGCTCTCTAGCCTCATCCAGCCATCTTGCCAACTCCTCTGATCATTGCCATGCCAAACAGCATGCCAATGACCATAGAAGTTTGCAAGACAGTACAAACAGATCTGGGACCAGGCTAGTGTCTCTCCACTAGCTGAGTGAAACCGGTGCATCACCTGGCAGCGACAGAGAGGGATCCCACTTCGCAAAAACGGGTTGGATCAACTTTGTTTCCACATCATTTCAACCCCCCAATATCTATGTGATGACATTGAATCAACATGGAAAACTGATTGGATTTGCAAAAAGTCATCAACATAAGGGCATTTCGTTTTTTGTTTTTTACTCAACTTTTAACCTAAATCCAGTGACATTGTGAAATGTATTGTTGATTTCACTTTGAATTCACATTAGTTGACAACTCAAACTAGACATTGAACTGATGTCTGTGCCCAGCGGGATAGGATGCACAGTAAGGGCAGAGATTCCAGCAGCATACTGTTGTAGTTCTCATGGGTCACAGAGACAAAACAGACTCTAAATTCACTATCAAACAATGCATCTCCTTGGTATTCTATGTTAGTTAGATAAATATAAAATTAGATGGACGTTAAAGGGATGACAATATAATTTGCATGAAGCGACAAAATATGTAAATGTAAATGCATATGTTAATGTGCCTAGCTGTGGTGTGGACCACCCAACCATGCATAACGGGAGGAGCCAGCCACCAGAACTGACTTTATAGGTGAATCTCAGTAGTCTGAAGTGGCCAGCCACCAGAACTGACTTTATAGGTGAATCTCAATAGTCTGAAGAGGCCACCCACCAGAACTGACTTTATAGGTGAATCTCAATAGTCTGAAGAGGCCACCCACCAGAACTGACTTTATAGGTGAATCTCAATAGTCTGAAGTGGCCACCCACCAGAACTGACTTTATAGGTGAATCTCAATAGTCTGAAGTGGCCAGCCACCAGAACTGACTTTATAGGTGAATCTCAATAGTCTGAAGTGGCCAGCCACCAGAACTGACTTTATAGGTGAATCTCAATAGTCTGAAGTGGCCAGCCACCAGAACTGACTTTATAGGTGAATCTCAATAGTCTGAAGTGGCCACCCACCAGAACTGACTTTATAGGTGAATCTCAATAGTCTGAAGTGGCCAGCCACCAGAACTGACTTTATAGGTGAATCTCAATAGGCTGAAGTGGCCAGCCACCAGAACTGACTTAATAGGTGAATCTCAATAGGCTGAAGTGGCCAGCCACCAGAACTGACTTTATAGGTGAATCTCAATAGGCTGAAGTGGCCAGCCACCAGAACTGACTTAATAGGTGAATCTCAATAGGCTGAAGTGGCTTCCTCTCCTTTTCTCCTTTCCTTCATCTGCACTGATCTGAAAGGAGAGGTGAAAACCAACCATTGCAGTATTGCTTTTGCCTATCCTGTGTGGTCAGATCAGTGCAGTTGTGGAAGAGGAATCTGCTTTAGACTATTGAGATGCACCCTATTTCAACTAGTGTTTTAGCAGTGGGGTAGTACTCACTGGTTGTGATCGTGAGTTAGCGATGGGGGCGGAGGGAGTCATGGGTGGTTTGGAGCAGCGTAGACTGAAGCGCTGCCCGGTGTCAGGCGGGGAAGAGTAGGAGCGCATCCGTGCCTCCAGCCTCTCCGGCTCGCTCCGATAGGCCTCCAGCGGGAACGCCGGCGGCTGCTTTGCGGCCTGCGTCGGAGGAGTCAAGGGGGGTGAGGAGATCCCGGAGGCTATGGAGAAACGGAGAACGGGTACAAGAGGTTGATTAGACTTTCAGTATAAAAAACACCTGAGGCTCTTTCTGCTGTAATCTACCATGTCTGAGGGGCGATGGGCATCCTTGGGCTGAAAATACAGTGTGCCACTAGGCAAGAAGCCACAGATAGGGTGTTATCTGATTGAACATTCAGCAAGGATTGAGAAGAAGATAGATAGGGAATAAACCTGTAGTGCTGCCTTTTTGCCAGTTGAGACATTGTTTTGGTGATGTGGACAGAGCTTGGAGGTGTGAGACAGATGCTGTATCTCATGTTAATCAGATTCTCCTGTCAATTCTATATATTTTTTTGTATGCAATATTCTGGTATGTGCAACACGACTGTGAACTCATTCAACCAATACAGTCAAAGTCATCCTGTAGGTTATTCAGAAGATTAAGAGAAGATTACGTAACTCTGCATCAGCACTAATGGAGTTTCGTGGCGAAAAATAGCTGGAAAGTTATTTTTTTTAAACACAGAGAGGATCATTTATTGCTGTAGCAAGCATTTGAACACTATAACAAAGCCAGGAGGGACGATCACCTTTCAACTTCGAATTCAAAAGGACAGAGCTAGATCAAAAGACATCTTAATTTATAACAACATAGTCCTTAGAGATATTCAAGAAGACGTTTGAAAATAATTGACAGGCACACCATTTAAACAGTCAAGTGCGATGAGAAAGTCCATATTATACTAATGAGCTACTGTTATACTAGTTACCTTTTCATCAAATTCATGGCATACACACATCCTCCTTTCTGGCTATCCAACAAAACAGGAATATTACAGGGAGTAGATACCACTAATCAACTCTTACTCCCAGCGGTTCTAATCTAACAGGACCTTATTGACATGCAGATGATGCAGTACATCTTCCTTGATGAGCCCAAGCAGAATCAATACAGTCCTCTCTAGGCACTTAACCAGACTTTCAACCCCTTACACTCGTGGGAATTGGCCTACATGGATAGGGCTAAATTGAAATGTTTCTTACAGAAGAAATATGGAAAGCATATGCATAACTATGGTAGCAATCAAAATGGAACAGTTTGGAGATTATGGGAAAATTATTAGACTAAAGGTGAGGACAAAACATTTAATCTGACACAAGACTGAATCCAAAAATTACACTGTTGATTTTATGTGCATTTTACATTTACTGTACTTTGCCGCATTTGTTGATAATGGTCCCCTGTAGCTCAGTTGGTAGAGCATGGTGCTTGCAACGCCAGGGTTGTGGGTTCGTTTCCCACGGGGGGCCAGCATGAAACATTTATGCACTCACTAACTGTAAGTCGCGCTGGATAAGAGCGTCTGCTAAATGACTCAAATGTAAATGTAAATAATGAAATCTAGAAATACTCTGGATACATTCAGTAACATGATAAGAATATTCATGGCAAAATCTGGGGTAGGTGCAACATACAGTAAGACAAAAAAATTTGAGTGAAAGGTCTAACTGTTGTCTCCAAGTGGCCACGTACCTCTCCAAAGTGTGCACAGTTCCTACGTAATTTCAATGCACTTTTATGACTCAAAGAAGAGTCTTGAACTGTAAGGTGCTATTTTGGGTGTTCACTGACAAATTTCTTCTCAATACAACAAACTTTTGACTGGTAGTGTATATATATACACTACCGGTCAAAGGTTTTAGAACACCTTCTCATTCAAGGGTTTTTCTTTATTTTTACTATTTTCTACATTGTAGAATAATAGTGAAGACATAAACTATGAAATAACACATATGGAATCATGAAGTAACCAAAAAAGTGTTAAACAAATCAAAATAAATTTGAGATTCTTCAAATAGCCACCCTTTTCCTTGATGACAGCTTTGCACACTCTTGGCATTCTCTCAACCAGCTTCATAAGATAGTCACCTGGAATGCATTTCAATTAACAGGTGTGCCTTCTTAAAATTTAATTTGTGGAATTTCTTTCCTTCATAATGTGCTTGTGCCATTCAGTTGTGTTGTGACAAGGTAGGGGGGGGGGGGGGGGGGGTATACAGAAGATGGCCCTATTTGGTAAAAGACCAAGTCCATATTATGGCAAGAACAGCTCAAATAAGCAAAGAGAAACGACAGTCCATCATTACTTGAAGACATGGTCAGTCAATCCAGAAAATTTGAA